AGTGGTAAATACAAGGTGAAGAAGAAGAAGAAGAAGAAAGCTTGAGACATTTGGGGCTTTAGACCTGTAAGCTCATCACTCATGCTTATGCCAGAGAGGAACTTTCTCCCGGAATGTGGAAAATGTGTTTTCCTGAGATGAATGTCTGGTCTTCCTGTAAAAGTAGCTTCCCTGGAAAACTGCTGGAGTCATGGCTTTACATACTGGAAGTACGACTGTATGCACACGTCACTTTCTAAACTTTGATGGTTGTCTGTAGGTTGTCTGTAGACTGATCGTGAAAACACAGTGTTCATGTTGCAATTGATCAGCAGCTCTTTACGTTGACCAGATGTAAACCTGAGAGTGCAATTAGCAAACAGCTTGAAATTTGTCAAAGGTTACTGGCAGTGTTCGAACTATATCGTGGACTTTGGGGGAGCCCACTTTTTTTTTTTTTTTTTATAAGTGGGGGGGATTCGTGCACTTGCACGTGCCTCAAAAGAATGACACAAAGATACATAACAGCTACAAGTGTATGCACTACACTATAGGATAAATCACTATACAGGATTTACCCTATTATACTTTATCGACACAAATTGATAGGTGAAACAACAAACAGCCACCCACAAATAGTCTATATACAAAGCATCAGGCTGTCTTTGAGTTCACATGAACAACGGTTAAAGTTACTCGTCGTCAGGCTACAGAAGAATACCATAATTCCTCCGTTCAATTAGGCCTAAGACATCGAGAGTCACGCAGACCTATAACAACCCAGCCACAACACTTAATTGCGAATAACATGCCTTACCTTAACACAGAATCGGAATTTGCACCGCAGCACCCCACACCTTGATGCTCATGACAAGAATAGCATGTATAGTTATCTTTATTGAAGGGAATTAGGTTTAAATCGCTGTCATGCATGCATGAATGAATGATATTTTTGCAATTTTACACATAATAATCCACGATGATCACATTGCACAAAACTGAAATTGCACGTCAAAATAACATTGTCAATATTTTTTGAGACCCCCCAAAATTTCACAAATCACGTTTTTAGGGGAGCCCATGTCTGATTAAGGGGAGCCGAGCTCCCCCTAGCTCCCCCGTAGTTCGCACCCTGGTTATTGGTTTATATATTATATAAATGCCTGTTTTTAAATGTGCAGGGAAGTTTGTAAATTGTTAAATGAGAGGAAGTGTACCGGATGCCACTGAGGTAAATATTGTAGTTAGTGCAGATGACGAATGAGAATATAAATAGAATTTGAAAAGTGGTAAGACGCCAATAAATTTAAACAGCGTTAAGATACCAAGACACTAGAAATTGCACAGTTTAATACTGTTGCTCATGTTTTTTTTGTTTTTTCAATTATGCATCCACCTCAATTAAAATTCAGGGATTGCAGTTTTAATGTCATGTGACATTTTGATATGTATTTTTTTTTTCTCAGTGAAGTTAGAAAGGAAATGAGTCTCATGAGGAGGCCAGATTTATTGTGAGATGCTATACATGTAGTCAAAAGGTGAGTTTACACTGAGATTCAATGATATCAGAACAACTTGCCAAAATGTAGCCTTAAAGTTTGTGCAATTGACAATTGTTATTATTATATTTATATATTAAAATGTTAAAGCCGTAGTATTTTAATATGTCAGAGCTGGAGACATTTTTTTTTTTTTTCTAAACTGTTGAACTACACCCATTACATGTTTGCTGCCTTTAAATCATTTCTAGAGGTTAAGTTGGGAGATTAGAAGTGAGGCAACAGTTTTGAGAAGAGCAAACATACACACAGGGGAATACGGCCCACTGAACTGAAACCAGAGCAGCCATTCATTTACTAATTTTGCATATGCACATGATTATCCAAACTAAGACAATCAGAATAAGACATTTCCATGTAAACAGCATGTGATTACCTTAAATTGAATGTTCTATTTGGAATATATATTTTTTTTTATCTCAGTCATTTTGTCAGTCTGACCCATACTGTCAAGAGTTGATATGACTTTCTGAGTGACATATAATAGCCCTGTGAAGGGAAACTGATATATAAATATTTGAAATATAAGACAGGGCAAAAGTGGTGAGTGTTGTTGCTTCAGTGTTAAGCTTGAGCTTCTCCTTGGCGAGAGGACGATTAGTGAAGCTCTTCTGATAGCAGCATAGACTCGCAGTCTGAGGAGAGGTTTTGCCTGAGGTCTACTCTGCAGATACACTATGACAGATATTGTATGCTGTTATGAGTTGGGGTGGTAGAATGTATATTATTCTCTTCGTTTGTAATGCTGTGCAAATCTGTGTGTGTCCTATGTGATCTGATTGCATGACTGTTGATATGCATGCCGCCAGTACATTAATATTCTGTGTGTGTTTCTCTCAGTCTTTGGTTACAGACTTTTGTGTGCATGCATGTTGTAGCTGCGTGTGTACACCTGTTCTACATAAGTACTTAAAAGTCATGTCAATAACACTCAGGTCTCAGGGCTTTCAAGTGTACTGGGTTCAATACGCCAATGCATTTCCCTTTCTATCATTCTTATACCCTTCTACTTTTACTTTTTTTTGTCCTCCCTTCTTTGTCCTTTCTCAACCTTTTTTCTTTGCATACAGTATCTTCGCGCAAAGAGGCAGAAGAATATATAATACAAAATAAATAAAAAACTCAAGAACCCACTCTACAGTGTACAGAAGATGCTAACGATTAGAATCAATAACAATTTGTGAGCTTATTGAACAAAAGCAACAGTGAGCGTAATTGATTTTTTTTTTCCTTTTGACACTAAAATTTCATAATAATTGAACATTTAATCCTAAAGAGAATGTAAAAGGTTGGTCTATGCATGTTCCTTTTTTTTTTACTGCACAATTATCTCTGTCAATATTTACAACAGTGAAATATAATTGCAGCAGATTTGAATTGATATTCTTATAAGAGGGCTCAACTATTAACACAAGTGCAGAGTAGCACAGTAAATAAAATGAAAGAATTAGATAAAAACTACTTTGCATTGCATGTCTTCAATGACTACAGTCAGAAATGCTATTATTATTATTATTATTATTATTATTATTATTATTATTGTGAGTGGGCAATAATGTGGTCTTTCATATAGGTTGTTGTAGGAGTTGCTCTTGGCTCAGTGAGGCATCTGGCTCGGGCCTCGCTACTTTCACCCTGTCCTTGAGATTGTGCAGACACATGGCAGATAATGTTCTGACACCAGAAACTGAAAACCGTCAGGAAATCCTAACAACACTCTCCCTTGTCCTTCTCTCATGCTCTGTAGAAGAGCGGCAAAGCTCTCTAAACAGGCTTAACTTACTGTAAAGACTCGGCCATAGCTGTGCGATAGTTGCACTCACAGCTTAAAGCATCTGTTCATCCATTTCTGAATCCTCCTCATCACGGAATGATGTTAGTTTAGAAATTAGACATGTCTAATTGGATATGAACTTTCTTCAGTGTTTTTTTTGTGATGTTGTGTAATTAGTGCATCAGGGCTATATACTGTCACAAGACCAATTTGAGTCAAAAGTCCAATTACACAAGTGAGAATATTTTGTGTGAATTCTGAATTCCAAGCTAAAATTACAGTATCATCATATGTTGTTATAGCAGTTGTGCAACAAGCTAAAACAATAGTGACCGCTATCTATTTTATAGGCAAAAAGAAGTAAATGTTTAATAGCTTTTTCACAGGTAAGACTTTAATGCATGTGCAAACACAGAAATCTCCCAGTAAAAAGTAATCACTATATAGTTTGACAGCTAGTCCTGGTCTCCGCTAATTACACATTATTTACCGTTTACTATTTACCTATATAGTGTAGTGTTGTTTAGAATTTCAATAGTATTTTTAAATTTTCCGCGTGGTATCACACTGTCCTAAAACCGCATGCGCCTA